AAATGTCCGCTACCTCTATTTGACAAAACCAATAAGTATCGGAATTCTTTCTGCTGAATGTGTACGAGTACCGCTCGTGCAGCATCATGACACTACCTCTCTCTGTTGCGATCACCTCTATCCTTTTGAATGCAGTCTCAGTTTCGTTCCGGACGGACCCAGTAGCTAAAACGTCTGTTATAAATTCTTTGACTTTGAGAAGTGAAAGACATGCTAAGATAAGAGGTGACCCACTTTGTCATGCCGAACCAACATTCAATGTTCGGGACCGAACGAGAAGCTGAAACGTTTGTTACAAATTCTTCGCCTTTCAGAAGTCAAAGACATACTAAGATATGAGGTTAGCCACTTTGTCCGCCCGAACCAAACTGAACAATACACTTTTGGGGGGACGAACTGTTGTGGGACCGGTTGGCCGCGTGACGAGTCATCCTATGACGAATGTTCCTGTGTGACGAATCGTCCTGTGACCAATCGTCCTGTGACGAGTGTGCATGTGACGAATGGACCGTATCCCGAATTATTATCCTTCCCTGTACTCTCGCTGCGACGAACAGTCCGATAAACGAGTCACCCTATGACAAAGATGGGGGTCCCGAAAATCTCCTAAAATCGTGTTTGTTCTCAGAGACACGTCCGTGTGTAAGAAAAACCGCGGCCCTCTCCACGAAGTACAGATATATTTGATAAATAGCGTTGACTTGAGGTTGAACTTTTCATTTGCTTTGTAAACACAAGCGTGACGTCACGTGCGCATCCCACGCGACCCGACTGAAGTCTGAACTGGTGTACTATGTGTGGACAATAGGGCATTATTTTGACTTCCCGGCCGCGACGACCTTGGCGAGGGAGGACAGATGGGGGTCCCGAAAACTCCTAGAATCGTGGTTTGTTCGCAGGGACACACACATCCGTGTGTAACAAAAAACGCGGCCCTCTCCACGAAGCTTACACAGGCATTGTTGTGTAACTACTGAAGATGCCTCCCGCAAGGGAGGCAAAACGTCTAGTGAAATTGTTTTTTCCTGTTCTGTGAAGTCGGTGCTTTTATTTTAATTATGTTACCAGTCGGCCTGTGTGACCAGTGCTCATTTGAAGAATCGCCTTTGTCTTTCCTGAACTCTAACAAAAACACCCTCATAACATTTTTTTTTACTGTTCGGCTACGTTGGCATAGCCTATAATCGACATAATTTTTGCGAAAGCCTACTTTTATTTTATAATTATCTGTAACCATTTCTAATTGAAGAAGTGACAAGTATAATAATTATATTATGATTTCATATAAAAATTCGACGAATTGGGAGATGCGAAATTCGGTGAAACAGCTTTTCAAAAAAATATCCGGTGCCCGAAACTTGCTTATATTAAAATGTCTAACATGTGTATGTGTTCTAATACAGAAGATGAGTGCAATGTGGAAACTGAATGGCCTCACAGACAATTGTCAACGAGTTGGAATTTTTTATGAATTACCCTTTGTCGAGTCATCCTACTACCGATTGGCCTCTTCAATCAATTGCCCGTCGACAAATATTGTTGTTGGTTTATTTGCCATCTGCTGTAAGGGGAGAGTGTGGGGCTTGTCAAGCCGACATCTGCCAGCATTTTCATCACGCCTCCAGCGCCTGTACCGACTGACGCCGACGAGTTGGCCTAGAAATAAATACCCACGGACTATACTATAGCCGCTAAATATCTCTACGCGAGCATGATTTGTTTTCAAAGGGGCACCCGCCTGTCGGTGCTTCTTTGATTTATACATACGTCACGGTCAAAACGTTCCGCAGCTACTGAGTGAAGGCCGACCAACCTATTTTGTCCAATTGTCGGTGTATGGAAGATGAGAATGCCACTGCGTCAAAGACAAGACGTGTGCGAGCGTTGCTAAAAATAGAGACCACTATCGATGTTTTAGTATACATGGTTTCATTCTTAGTCAGAGCGCAAACAGAGGTTAGATGTCACGAAAACACATACACAAAGACAAGAAGCACTTTATCACGGCGCATTGTATGAGTTGTTATATTAGTGGGTGGAATCACCCAAACAAAGATAGTGAACGCCGTGGCGTTTAGGTGTTGAGCTGTTGGTGATGCTTGATCGGCGCAATGTGTCAGTCGAGCTCCAACTGAGGGTGATATGAGGCGGGGCAGCTCTGTGGTTTTACTTGTTGTTTATTCTTGTGTCTTTCGTTTTTGCGCGAAATATTGCGGATCACAACAGCTAGGCATCTTCGTCCGATGAAGCTCTGTTTTATTGATTGGCGTTTCATCGAATAGTGGACATTTCATCGAACACCGCTTCATTGAACGCCAACTCAAGTAGCTTGATCGAATTATGTTTCTGCTATCAAATTATTGCAGATATAATAACTACGCTCGTCATATTTTGTAAATAACGGTAGCCTTTAGCGAAAATTGTGTTGCATAGTTAGTTTTGGCCGTCAGCAAATAGTGAAAAATATCTATCTACCTATCTCTCTCTCTCTATATATATATATATATATACAAAGGCAAAAATGCGTACTGTCAGAGTTACTAATTCGAAGTTTACTACGACGTTTCGAGCGGGGACCACACTTCATCACCTAATGAAGAACGGTCCCCGCTCGAAACGTCGGAATAAACTTCGAATTAATAACTCTGACAGTACGCATTTTTGACTTTTTATATATATATATATATACATTTTACTAATACAATGTCTGGACATTTACACTTACCAAGTAACCATTTTCAGCTGTGATTTGAGACTGTGTTGCGCTTATCCCGCTCTTATTTATTTATTTTTTGTTTCTCTAGTTTCTGGCCTTTTTAGTATAGGCTTCCACCAGCTCGCTTGCGCGTGAACTCTAATTTCAAGTGAAACAAATTTGTAAATTAGGGTGACACTATATAGGTTTGAAATCCTATACCAATTTTATTGCCATTTGGTGAGCCACGTACGAATTTTGAAATATATCTTTTCATCCAAATAATCGATTAGTAAATCGAATAGCGATTCGGACGAATTTACTACGACGGGAAGAACGAATTTGCAAATCTCATGGCATTTAGGAAATTTCAGCCATCCTTGGTTTCCGATTGGTCGCGCTCAGTAGCGGCTCCCTCCGCACAGAGTAGCCTCGAGTCAGAATTCGCGGAGTCTCTACTGACCGGCCAAAAAAAGTGCGGCGCTTCAACTGCTCCCGCCCACACGACTTGATATATTTGTATACGCCCATGACATCGGCCGCGATCGGCGATTGAGGTTCCGTTAGCCGACGCAAGCGTCAGCGGACGTCTCATATTTCCATACTCTCATTTAACTACAGAAACACAAACAACAAAAAAATCATCCAGTTCATGTTCACTATGTTCACCACTGACAAGATAGTCGGTAGTCGACGAGTTTCCGTGCAAAGCCGATCAAAACGAGGCACCAGATCAACTTTTACGGCTGCCATCAGGAAAGATGTGGCTTGTCGCGTTCCCTCAACGTCACTCCGAATATTGTTTGTGCCCCGCGCACCATCCTCTTGTAGCAATATTTTTATTGTCCCCATGTGATTTCTTTTTTATGTTCTTACTGGTGTTTGATCATAATTCGGTCATTGAAATAGTTTTTGCTGCCGACCCTACCATTATTTTGACCCTCTGGCAGCAAAGGAATCTTATGCCGGCATTACACACGAAATAAGAATGTAGACACTCCGTCCCATATCTGAAATTACATCACAATGTGTTCACACAACTGTAGTGCAGAGGTACGATGAGCAGGGTCTGAGAAAATATTATTTTCAGTATTTTCAAAAGAGCGACGAAACAAAATAAAGAAAGGACCGCCTATCGGCAGCGCGTGCAAGCATAGGCAGTAGTGACAGGAAGGGCGAGGTGTGTCTTTCGTACGGCCGGCATCAACTCAAGCACTGTCCGAAGATGTACTCTGTTTTACTCGTAGGATTGCAACGCTGCGGAATGTAGGCGTGTGATTTCAGAAAGCGCGTCCTACCATTTCTACGCGCGAGTGCTCCTGCAACCCAAGCATTGTATACAGTTACGTCCTCGCGCCCGTGCCTTGGCCAGCCCCGTACACAACTTATGCAGTATCGAAAAGGCATAGTTCAAAATTGACGGTCCCACTTTTCCATACCGCTTCAAAACCCCATCTCGCTCAAATCACTTGGCAGCCGGACAATTTTGGCAGGGGGCCTCAAGTTGGGGATTATCCGGTACATTGTCCTCCCAACAATGAACGTGGGCGCGACGCGCCAGAGGGTGAACACGTGAAAGGAGGGGCGTAAGAGTGGAGAAGGAAACTCAAGGTCGCAAGCGACGGGAAAAAGGGTTTCGAAATTGGCGCGCAGGTTTTGCAGCATTTGCTCATACGGACAGCCAACGCCGCCCTGGTGGTTCAACTAATGTTTTGTTCAAGATGGCCGCCGTGGTACCGCAGCCTTAAGTGGGTCAGGGGGCCCACGCAAGGGGTGGCCCAGCGCGGGCGTTCCAAGAGGAGCTATCAGTTAGAACTTGCACAAAGAGTCCTCCCCGCTGAAGGCAGGAAAGAACGATAAAACTAAAAGCCAAGAAGCAGACGGAAAACGCGAGAGAGAGGCTGTCAAACAAGTCGGGCGCCAAGAAGGTACCGGACAAGAAGCAAAGCCAAAGACAGAAAAGATAAACAATACAGCCTAAAAGAGCTAAGTGGTTTAGGGGGCCCTCGCAAAGGGTGGGCCTGCGCGCGCGCGTTCTAAATGGAAGGCAGTTAAGTAAACAGAAAGGAAGAGAAGCTGAGTCTAAAGAGGAGGCTACAAGAAAGAAGATAAAAAAAAAAACAGTCCGGGGTGCAGCGCGAGGGGGAACCAAGGCGAATAAAGTAAAGAGAAGAAAAACGCGAGAGAGGAGCTGTCAATCAGCTCGGCAGCAAGGAGGAGAGATTACGGGAGAGGAGGACGCGACGCCCTGCAGGCCCTGCCTGGATAGCGATCGCGTCCCCCTCCGCCACGCGACCGGCGGAGAAACCGAGTTTCCCCGAAGGAGGGAAAGGAGGAGCGTTTTCGGCGGGCGGGCAGCAGCGCCAGGCCAGGCCTTCCTAGTGGGGTGAGCTTTCCCCGAAGCTCTGCGGCTGTCGTCTGCTACAGCTCCTTTGTCTCTTGCGCGACCGTTGCAGCCTAGATCTCGCCGGCCAGCCCCGTCTCGACGAGGAATCCTGCGAGCGCTGTTAGGGCACTTTGCGCCGCCTTACCTTGCGGTCTGATTAGAGTTTCAAAGCTGTTCGTGCTACATCCAAGAGTGATGTAGCGACGAAACAATCGCTCACGTTCCTCGCCGAAGTCCGGGCACTCGCGGAGGAGATGATCGGCGTCCGCGACGGCCGCCGCGCATCTCGGGCAGCTTCGGTCGCCGTCGTCTCGCCACCTCGCTCTGTAGTCGGGGGTGAAGGCGCTGCTCGTGCGCAGCCTGTGGATCACCGCCGCTTCGCCTCGCCGCATGTTCCTCGGGGGCCTCGGGGGCAGGGGCCCGTGCTCGAGCTCGGGGTGGCGGGCTGCCACCACTCTTCTGACCAACAGGCGTGCATCGGAGAAGGCCGGGACCTCGGAGATCGGGTATGCAGGATCCTCCTGCGCTTCGGCGGCAAGGCGATCTGCTCTTTCATTACCTGCTATTCCACAGTGTGCAGGAACCCATTGGAAGGCCAGCGTCCATCCCCGGCGCTGCAGCTCGATGGCTTTTTGGGCCACCACCTTGGCCAGTGCTGGGGCCCTGTCCAGGTTCTTCAGGAGTCCGAGAGCAGCCTTGGAGTCACAGAGTATCACCAGGCGGTCTGGCTGCCCCTCGGTGTCCACGATGGACAGTGCCAGGATCAGCGCCGCCAGCTCAGCTGTCGTGGAGGTCGCCTGGAAAGAGAGCCTCTCGGCGGCCGTGCGGCCGGTGTCCTCCGACACGGCCGCGGCGCTGGCCGAGTGGCTCGCCGGATTTACAGACCCGTCCGTGAACGTCTTCGCCCAGCCCAGGAAGTGCTCGTGGATATGATGCTCCGCGTGCTGCCTCGCCGTCGTCTCAGCCATGTGCCTCTTTGGTGCATCGAGACCTGCGTTCAGTTCGACTCGCAGCGGGGGCTCCTCGCTCGGTGGTGGTGGTGTAGGGTTGTTCCCCGGGCCGCCCGCGATCCGAAAAAGTTCCCTCGCGTGCGCGGCGAGTTGGGACCGTGTGCGTTGTAAAATACGCTCGGGCAGCCCGGTTGTGCCCCTCGACTCACCGATCCGGATGAGGTGCCGCATCGCTCGTTCGGCCGCTGCGAGTCTTACCGTGGTGACGCCTGCATCGTTCAGTGTGTGGCGCGAGGAGGCCGTGCGGGGGACTCCGAGGCAGACGCGAAGTGCAGTGCGTTGCATCCGTTCGAGCAGTTCCCACTGGTTCTCTGTGAGTGTTAGTAGCGGCAGTGCGTACAGTGCGCGAGAAAGAATCAATCCCTTGTAGAGGGTCAACAGCATACCCTGTGAGGTTCCGCGGCGAGTACCTGCAAGCATTTGGATTATACGCGCGTGGCGTCGGCACTTACGGATTACCTCTGAAACCGCAGGAGCCCATGTGGCTTTCCTGTCCAGTTGCACCCCCAGGTAAGCTGCTTGCTTCTTGATTGGAATTTCTGTGCCGCCTGCTTTGATTGACATTGAGAAGCGATATGTGTAGTGGGGGGCATTGCACAGAACGACGGACTTGCTCGGGGAGAGGGACAGGCCGAGCAGGGAAAGATAGTGCTCAATGTTGGTGACTCCTCTCTGCAAAGCTTTCCGCACGGCCCCTCGGTGCCATCCCCGAGCAGTTGCCCAAAGTGCAATGTCGTCTGCGTAAACCGCTATTTGGAGGCGCTTGACTCCCTTTTGGCCAATGTTTATGATTTGCGGGAGGGCCGACATAGCCACATTAAATAGCAAGGGGGAAAGCACGCCCCCCTGGGGGACGCCACACTTGATTTTCCTGGGAGTGCTGAGTCCCTTGGCTGCTCGTACCTGCGCCTCTCTGCCGCTGAGATACGCCCTCACGTAACGGAGCGGTCGGCCCTCGATTCCTGACAGCCTGAGCATGTCCAGAATTGCTGAGTGTTTGACGGCGTCGAATGCTTTAGACACATCGAGAAGGACGACTCCCGTCGTCCATCTCTTTGCCTTGCTTTCCTCGAGCGTGGTCACCAGATCCGCGATGGCGTCTGCGGTGCAGTGATGCCGTCGGAATCCACACGTGCTTTCCGGGTACCCGCCCACCGACTCGAGATGGTATTCGAGTCGGCTTTTCACCATTCGTTCGAGTAGTTTCCCCATGCACGACGTGAGCGCGATGGGTCGGAACGAGCTGGGATCTTTTCTGGGCTTACCCGGCTTGGGGATCGGGACGACGACTGCCGAACGCCATTCGGAAGGGATGTTGGCGTCTCGCCACGCTCGATTGAACAATTCTAGCAGCGCTGGGTAGCTCGCTTTGTCGAGGTTTCTCAGCGCTGCAGCGGTGACGCCGTCTGCTCCGGGGGCCGACTTTTTACGTGGGAGCGATGCCAGGGCGCGTTCCAACTCGTGTAGCTGGAAGTCTCCGAGCCCCTCTGTCATCTGGGGCTTCGCGTGCCACTTCCAGTCTCGCCATCCGGGCGGTGCATCTCGGGCGGCAGGCGCGGGTGGGGGGGAGAGCAGTGCGTCCGCTAGAAGTTCTCGGACGTCTGCATCAGAAATGTTAAGCGCGAGTGCCATACCTGCAATAGGATCTCGCGGTCCCGGTCGGTTGCAGAGGGTCTTGGCCATTTTCCACGCCTTGGTGGCCCCGCGGGGGCCGTCGAAGGACTCACACTTCTGCTTCCATTGCTCCCTGGCGAGCCTCTTACCGTGTCGCTTGAAGAGTGCATCCTGGCGTCGGTAGCGGAGTGTGTCCTCGTGACGGCCCGTCCGCAGGGCCACCCTCTGTGCCTGGCGTCTTTGTGCTCGAAGTTGGAGCCAGCGAAAGTCAGGATTAGGACGCTCAACGGGGATACTCACTGACGTGGTGGCCTCTTTGAGTGCGGCGCCGATGGCCTGGCTGTCAAGGGGCCAGCCCATCGCCTCGTACTGGCGGAGGAAGGCACGATACCTGTCCCAGTGGACCACCTTGCACGTTCGATTGGGTGGCCGTGGGGCAGGTCCCGATGTTATGGGAACGTGGTCGCTCCCCCAGCTGTCTTGCTCGAGCACCGTGGTCAGTGGGAATCGCGCCGAGCAGAACGTTAAATCGAGTACGCTCCGCTCGACGCCTCGTCCGATGAATGTGGGCTGCCCTGTTCCGCTGTACTCCAAGTCGGTTTGGGCGAGGGCCTCCTGCAAACGCTTGCCGCGCGCGGTCGTTTTCCTGTCCCCCCACAGCTCGTTGTGCGAGTTAAAGTCTCCGCCGAGAATGATTATGCCCTGCTCTCGCGCGTGAATTTGTTTTACAACCTCTCCACCCCACGCCGCGTTGGGGTGAACGTAGCAAGAAAAGATAGAAAATGTCTGGTTATTTTTCTTTACCCGAATACCTACAAGTTCCGAAGTGTCCGAGCAGTAATCGGCGCTCTCGATCCGGCAGTGGGTCGCGTCTTTGTGGACGAGCACGGCCGCCCAGGGTTGTTTTTCCCGGCCGGGGCAGCAGTAGGTGGTGTAGCTGGGAATGGTTAGTTTGCTCACGTCCATTTTTGGCTCCTGCAGCAGCACCACCTCGTACGCCCTTGCCAAGAGTTCTGCCCTCAGGTGGGTGAGGCGGTTGCCGAGCCCGTTCGCGTTCCACTGGAGGATCGAGGGACAACCTTTCACAGCATTAGGCTTACTTGTTTTCTTAGGGCCTGTAGGCATTCTCAGTTCCTTGCCGCGAACGTTGCATCCCCGCGGTGATGCTGTGTAGTAAGGTCCCCTCCGGGATCATGGCTGTAGCCTGCCGATTCTTGAGGAAAAGCGGGATTAGTGTTTGGAGCAGATCCTCCAGGGTGTGGATCATGTCGCGCATTTCCTGCGCGGTGGGGGGCGTGTCCGTCTCGTCCCGCCGAGGGGAATCCCCGGCGCTGTCTCCTGGGGAGGCTGCGGGGAAGGGGGGTGAGGGGGGCACCTGTTCTTGCTGGGGGAGAGGCCTCTCCTTCTCGCCACCGGGTCGGTCGTCCGCGCGGGGAGAGGAGGATCCTCGCAGGTGCCGTGCGTCAGCTGGGCGCCGGTCATTGACCCCTCGCTGCTGCTGTTGGCTGTCTGGACGGTAGGACCTGCGATAGACCTCCTTCCGCCGCTGCGGCTTACCGACTTCGGGGATTTTGGCGCTGGGTTCCGTGTTAGTGGAGGCCTCTCTTGTCTTGACTTGTGGGGGCTGTGGGGCGACTGGGGGGATTAGTTCGCGAGTCGCACTCACCGCGTTTGGCCGACTGCGCGCTTCCAGCGTTGGGAAAGTGTCTCCCCAGACTGAGCTCGCTGGGAGCACGCTGGTCTGCCACGCGGGAGTCTGGCTGGCTCCGCTGTGCATCCAGGGGGGCGGGGTGGCGGTCTGCTCCTGCGCGCGCTGCGTGCTGCGCTCGCTTGCCTTTTTCTTGTGGAGTTCGGCGGCGACACGTTTGGCCTCCTTCCAGCTGCAGCCGGTGTCGCGGACTGCCTCGGCCTCGCGCTTGTGTTGTTGGTACACGCTGCATCCCTTGTCGAATGCAGCGTGTCTGCACTTGCAGTTGGGGCAAATGGGGGTGAGTTTTGTCGCGCACTTACCCCGAGGGTGCCTGCCCCTGCATGTTGGGCAGGCAGTGGGCAGCGTGCACGCGGACTGCACGTGGCCGAAGCGTCCGCATCCCCAGCACTGCGTTGGCCGGACGTGTCGTGCCTCCACGACAAACTCGATGTCGTAGATCAGGACCGTGGCTGGTAGGGGTCCGCCGAAGAAGAGCTCCGCGTACCGTCCTCCGCTGAACCGTCTGATGTGGTCCACGGGTACCTCGCTTTCGAGGCCTCGGGTCAGCTGTTCTGTTGCGTCATTGGGGCAAAGTCCGCGGATTACGCCGATACTCACCGCTCTGGCCGGCGCGAGGGTGGCATGGAGAGGGAGGCTCGCCAGCTTGTCGGTGCCTAGGAGGCGGTGGGTCATTGCCGCGCTCGTTGTCTCGACCGCCATCACGTTTCGCCTGAGATTGAAACGTGTGGCGGCCGCCTTGCCGCCCGTGACCTGTCGAAGGCCCTGCGCCAAGGAGACTCTGTTCTCCAGGGTTAGCTTACCTGTTCCCGTTGGGCGGAGCAGGACTGTGGACCCCTTTGCGGGGAGTTCGTCTAAGGAGGGAATTGGTTGGTTACCCTTGCCTGTGTTTGTCTTACGTGAGGCCCCGGATGTTGGGGGGCTTGTCACTGTGGGGGGGGTTGTCGCTCGGGGAAGGGTTGCTGCACCATCCTTCCTTTTTTGGTGCAGTTCCTCGATGAGGGTGTTGCAGTCCTTGTTGCCTGCTGCCTGAAGTGCTGCAAACTGGTTGGAGGTGTTTACAGTCACCTGGAGTTGGTCGTCATCCTCCTCGGAGGTGTTGTCAAGTGTTGAGTCACTGGGGCTCAATGTTGTGTCCCCGCTTGCTTCGGAGGGGCTGTCGCTGTTCTCGCAGTCGTGGAACAGGTCCCTTACTTCGTCCAGGAGCCGATCTGCATTTGGGTGCACTAAACCGGCACTTTTCAGTACACCTAGGATGGCGTCCGGTCGGGGGACGCCATCCTTCGGGGGCTCGTCGCGCGCCACGTGGGCGCCGTCCTCGTGGCTCTCGGGTGCCACGCGGAGGCTAGCCTCCGCGCGGGATCCGGTCCCCACGAGGTTTTCCGCGTTGTCCACGTGGCTCGCGCCGGCTGGCGGTAACGAATGGTTACCGTCTGTGTTTGGTTTGGGCTTCATGGCCCTGCTCCGCAGCAGGTACCCCGAGGGGTCCTCTGTCTCCTTTGAGTGGTCCGTGGTCAGTTGGTCCGGGGGCATGCCTGCGTCGGTGCCCTCCCGAGGGAGGGCAGGGGGAAACTACAAACTGTTTAAATAAAGGTCCCTCCGCCTCTTTAAGGCAGAAGGATCTTTAACACTAACTAGCTCTACTCTATCTTAATTCTTCTTCACATTACGAAGTTAGGGTTAAAGCTAAGACTAAATTCAAAATGGCGCTTAAATTGGAGCTAACAAATCACACGTCTACTTTATTTGCCAACTCTTCTAAAAGTCCTCAACCCCTGAAATTTTCGTTTTCTTTGCTCTTTTTATAGGTTTTCACAGCATTCTGAAAAATGTGCTCCGATTGGCCAGCATTCTAGAGCGCGGGAAACAGTGCGCTGTGATTGGAGTACGCCCAAAATAAAGCTTCGCGATTGGTTGCTGCGCGAACCAATGAGCAAGCAGTTGAAACTACAATTTTTTGGGAGAGGGTTTTGGGAGAGGAGTGCTATGAAGCAGAGGCAGTGCAAGGCGAAAACGCGCTCTTGCAGCGCCCCCCAAGCGGAGAGGACTGGCACTTCCTTTGATTTTCTGCTTCTCGATGCGCTGACTCCCTCACTCACTCAGTGTTCGTTGGTTTGTTCGGTTGTCCACTTCTCACCTCCACCAAGATGTCTGGGCGCGGAAAAGGAGGCAAGGCAAAGGGCAAGAGCAAGACCCGTTCCAGCCGCGCGGGGCTCCAGTTTCCCGTGGGAAGGATCCACCGACTACTGCGAAAGGGCAACTACGCGGAGCGAGTAGGTGCCGGTGCCCCCGTCTACTTGGCGGCCGTACTCGAGTACCTGGCTGCCGAAGTGCTCGAGCTGGCAGGAAACGCGGCCAGGGACAACAAGAAAACTAGGATCATCCCTCGACACCTGCAGCTGGCCATTCGCAACGACGAAGAGCTCAACAAGCTGCTGTCCGGCGTTACCATCGCGCAAGGAGGTGTCCTGCCCAACATCCAGGCCGTCCTCCTTCCCAAGAAGACCGAGAAGAAGGCCTAAACCATCCCGCGGCATCCGCTACAGAAAAACGGTCCTTTTCAGGACCACTCACGACTTGAGTACAGGATACTCATTTCCGTGCGCTAGTCTTCCGTGTCTCTAAACGCTCGGGTATGTGCAATTCAATTTCCTTTTTGTGCAATGCCGACAGTGTTTCTCTTTCATCACCTACAGGCCTTGAATGCCACTCTTAGGCATTCTCCCATGCATAATATTTACGCTGCGTTTAATGCCAAATTCTTTCACGTGTGCGAATTGCCCGAACAAGACTTGCTGTCGGGTGCAAAGGCCAGCATTGCTTGTTATTTGAACTCGTAAAACCACCGCTGCACTGCCTCGCTTTGAGAGGATTTGAAGCTGTTTCTACGAGAGTCAACAATCGGAGCAGCATTTCCCCGAAACCGGCAGAGGGCAATAAATGTTGTGGACATCCCTCAAAAACAGATAATTACTCCACGGGTTTTTGTTGGTCGAATCTATAATCGTGATATTCGCTGATTGCTAGAAAATGAACCCTGTAATGTCTCGGGAAAGGTTTTTTTCTTCTTTATTTATTTCATTGAACAACACTTTAGAAAACAAGGAACACATGAAGGAATCGTTGGAAGCAACTGCGAACGGAGCACTTGGCACAATGCAAACTAGTTCAAAATGGGAGAATAAATAGAAAGTACTCACAGCTTTTGAACTCCTGCACTTGGAACAAGTCAGCATCGGAGATTGAGACACGGGAGGACGTCGCTTTACACATGTCCGAAAAGCATGTCTGATGTGGCCCTGAAGAGGGCCGTTTTTGTGGCGTTGCCTGCCGCTTCCAAAGAAGCGACATTAAGCGCGTTCACCGCGGATGCGACGAGCCAGCTGGATGTCCTTAGGCATGATGGTTACCCGCTTGGCGTGGATGGCACAGAGGTTGGTGTCTTCGAAGAGACCGACCAAGTAGGCCTCGCTGGCCTCCTGCAGGGCCATTACAGCCGAGCTCTGGAAGCGGAGGTCCGTCTTGAAATCTTGCGCGATCTCCCGCACTAGCCTCTGGAAGGGCAGCTTGCGGATGAGCAGCTCAGTCGACTTCTGGTAACGACGAATCTCACGCAGCGCGACCGTGCCCGGCCTGTAGCGATGCGGCTTCTTGACTCCACCGGTTGCAGGAGCACTCTTCCGGGCGGCCTTCGTAGCCAGCTGCTTGCACGGTGCTTTTCCTCCCGTGCTCTTGCGGGCGGTCTGCTTCGTACGGGCCATTCCGAAACGTTGGGACAATAAAACGAGAGAGCTAGCAAACAGCAACACACCTCGACTCCTGACGACCAACTGCCTCAGCGCGAGTGGCGAAACTTCCTTCCCGACAAGGCCTCTCGGCCAATCAGAGAGCTTGTTCATTCTGGATGCTGTTTTGGGCAAGTTTCTTGCGAGGGACAGCGCACGTGGCTCGCTAGGACAATATTTCACGATTGAAGTGATCTAAACTTGTGGGGATAATGTGGAACCAACGTTAGAGCACAGAATCGAGCAAAAATTAGACTCCCAACCTTGTTATTTTAGAAACGGCACGGTTATAAACATTCGTTACCTTCTCCAGTGGGCCGCGCTCGCCTCTCGTCCAATCAGCGCGCTTGTTCATTCTTGGATGCTGTTTTGGGCGACTTTCTTGTGAGGGCCTATGCGCTTGGCTCCGTAAAATAATTTTTCTCGATCGAAGTAACTCAGACTTGTGAGGATAATGTGGAACCTATATTAGAGCACAGAATCGAGCAAAAATTAGACTCCAAACTTTGTTATTTTAGAAACGGCATGGTTACAAACATTCGTCACCTTCGAAGGGCTTCTCCCGGAGGTTCGCGCTCGCCTCTCTCGGCCAATGAGCGCTTGTTCTAGACGGTTTTTTTTCAGTCTCTCTCTGCTTACGATTAGAGTGGGTCATGTCCGAAGAAGTGTCCGCTCCTGCTGGGGTCGCGGCCCCCGCTGCCCTCAAGAGCCCCAAAAAGGCTTCCACGAAAGTGTCCAAGGGAAAGGCAAAGGCCGTGCCAACGCATCCCAAGGTGTCCGCAATGGTGACAGCATCCATCAGTGCGCTTAAGGAACGTGGTGGTTCATCTCTACAAGCCATCAAGAAATACATGTCTGCCAACTACAAGGTGGACGTCGAGAAGCTGTCTCCTTTCATCCGCAAGTATCTCAAGTCTGCCGTGGCTGCGGGAGCATTGGTGCAGACCAAGGGCAAGGGAGCTACCGGATCGTTCAAGCTGTCAGCCAAGTCCGACAAGCCCTCACCTGCTGCTAGGAAGCCCAAAAAGGAGGCCGGTGCTGCAAAGAAGCGCCCAGCCTCGGCAACTGCCGGTGCGGCCAGGAAGAAGAAGCCCGGGACTGCCAAGAAGTCGCCCGCAAAGAGGGCCAAGTCGGCCAAGCCCAAGTCGGCCAAGCCGAAAAAGCCAAAGGCAGAGAAGAAGGCTGCAGCACCCAAGAGCCCCAAGAAACCCAAGGCAGCAAAAAAGACCCCTGCCAAGAAGCCGGCTGCAAAGAAGGCTTCCTCCAAGAAATAGGTCTTCTCCTGGATATCCAGAGCGAAAAACAAAACGGCCCTCATCAGGGCCATAATTCGTTTGCATATCGGGGGATATGCACTTGCGTGGCATGCAGCTCCCGTGTCTCTCGCCACCTCTCTGTTCCAGCCTCGGTAAGCTGATTCCTGCTCTTTTTCAATGTGCACGAGGCATACTTGGTGTTATATTATTGTTTGTTCCCCTGTTAGCAGCATTTTATCTTTGTGTGTGGTACTCGTGAAGTCGTGGAGGCCCGCTTCACGCTCGAGCCGCGATTCGATCGCCTAAGATCAGGCGAAAATAAAAACAAAAAAAAAACTACTCGCTTTAGAACAGTCTTTTTTTCTGTCCTCTTAGCGCACACCTTTTTTTTCGCGGCACACGAAATTAAGAATCTGTATCTACGTTTATTACTACCTCTTTTAAACTTAAATCGACCAGCCGCCCTGACCGCTTGAAAACTAGTTTTGGCTTCCAAGTAAGAGGTTAGATCGAAATATGAAGAAAAGTAACTCCGTTTAAATTCAAATAATTTTTACACCTATTAGAGAAGTTCATTAGCTTTCGGAAAATATATACTTCGCTATGCGTAAAAATATTTTTCGTTGCGTTAGAGAGTGAAACAGGTCAAGCTGTAGAGTCCGGCGCGCGCTCGAGCCGCGATTCGATCGTCCAAGATCAGGCAAAAATTAAAGATAAAAAGAACTACTCGCTTCAGAAGAGTCTCTTTTTTTGTGCTCTTAGCGCACACGTTTTTTGAGCGGCACACAAAATTAAGAATCTGCATCTGCGTTTATTATTACCTTTTTAAACTCAAATCGACCATCCACCCAGAGCGCCCGAAAACTTGTTTTGCCTTCCAAGTAAGTGGTTAGATCAAAATATGAAGAAGAATAACTCCGTTTAAATTCAAATAATTTTGACACCTATTAGAGAAGTTCATTAGCTTTCGGAAAATATATACTTCGCTATGCGTAAAAATATTTTTCGTTGCGTTAGAGAGTGAAACAGGTCAAGCTGTAGAGTCCGGCGCGCGCTCGAGCCGCGATTCGATCGTCCAAGATCAGGCAAAAATTAAAGATAAAAAGAACTACTCGCTTCAGAAGAGTCTCTTTTTCTGTGCTCTTAGCGCACACGTTTTTTGAGCGGCACACAAAATTAAGAATCTGCATCTGCGTTTATTATTACCTTTTTAAACTCAAATCGACCATCCATCCAGAGCGCCCGAAAACTTGTTTTGCCTTCCAAGTAAGTGGTTAGATCAAAATATGAAGAATAACTCCGTTTAAATTCAAATAATTTTGACACCTATTAGAGAAGTTCATTAGCTTTCGGAAAATATATACTTCGCTATGCGTAAAAATATTTTTCGTTGCGTTAGAGAGTGAAACAGGTCAAGCTGTAGAGTCCGGCGCGCGCTCGAGCCGCGATTCGATCGTCCAAGATCAGGCAAAAATTAAAGATAAAAAGAACTACTCGCTTCAGAAGAGTCTCTTTTTCTGTGCTCTTAGCGCACACGTTTTTTGAGCGGCACACAAAATTAAGAATCTGCATCTGCGTTTATTATTACCTTTTTAAACTCAAATCGACCATCCACCCAGAGCGCCCGAAAACTTGTTTTGCCTTCCAAGTAAGTGGTTAGATCAAAATATGAAGAAGAATAACTCCGTTTAAATTCAAATAATTTTGACACCTATTAGAGAAGTTCATTAGCTTTCGGAAAATATATACTTCGCTATGCGTAAAAATATTTTTCGTTGCGTTAGAGAGTGAAACAGGTCAAGCTGTAGAGTCCGGCGCGCGCTCGAGCCGCGATTCGATCGTCCAAGATCAGGCAAAAATTAAAGATAAAAAGAACTACTCGCTTCAGAAGAGTCTCTTTTTCTGTGCTCTTAGCGCACACGTTTTTTGAGCGGCACACAAAATTAAGAATCTGCATCTGCGTTTATTATTACCTTTTTAAACTCAAATCGACCATCCACCCAGAGCGCCCGAAAACTTGTTTTGCCTTCCAAGTAAGTGGTTAGATCGAAATATGAAGAAGAATAACTCCGTTTAAATTCAAATAATTTTGACACCTATTAGAGAAGTTCATTAGCTTTCGGAAAATATCTACTTCGCTATGCGTAAAAATATTTTTCGTTGCGTTAGAGAGTGAAACAGGTCAAGCTGTAGAGTCCGGCGCGCGCTCGAGCCGCGATTCGATCGTCCAAGATCAGGCAAAAATTAAAGATAAAAAGAACTACTCGCTTCAGAAGAGTCTCTTTTTCTGTGCTCTTAGCGCACACGTTTTTTGAGCGGCACACAAAATTAAGAATCTGCATCTGCGTTTATTATTACCTTTTTAAACTCAAATCGACCATCCACCCAGAGCGCCCGAAAACTTGTTTTGCCTTCCAAGTAAGTGGTTAGATCGAAATATGAAGAAGAATAACTCCGTTTAAATTCAAATTATTTGACACCTATTAGAGAAGTTCATTAGCTTTCGGAAAATATATACTTCGCTATGCGTAAAAATATTTTTCGTTGCGTTAGAGAGTGAAACAGGTCAAGCTGTAGAGTCCGGCGCGCGCTCGAGCCGCGATTCGATCGTCCAAGATCAGGCAAAAATTAAAGATAAAAAGAACTGCTCGCTTCAGAAGAGTCTCTTTTTCTGTGCTCTTAGCGCACACGTTTTTTGAGCGGCACACAAAATTAAGAATCTGCATCTGCGTTTATTATTACCTTTTTAAACTCAAATCGACCATCCACCCAGAGCGCCCGAAAACTTGTTTTGCCTTCCAAGTAAGTGGTTAGATCAAAATATGAAGAAGAATAACTCCGTTTAAATTCAAATAATTTTGACACCTATTAGAGAAGTTCATTAGCTTTCGGAAAATATATACTTCGCTATGCGTAAAAATATTTTTCGTTGCGTTAGAGAGTGAAACAGGTCAAGCTGTAGAGTCCGGCGCGCGCTCGAGCCGCGATTCGATCGTCCAAGATCAGGCAAAAATTAAAGATAAAAAGAACTACTCGCTTCAGAAGAGTCTCTTTTTCTGTGCTCTTAGCGCACACGTTTTTTGAGCGGCACACAAAATTAAGAATCTGCATCTGCGTTTATTATTACCTTTTTAAACTCAAATCGACCATCCACCCAGAGCGCCCGAAAACTTGTTTTGCCTTCCAAGTAAGTGGTTAGATCAAAATATGAAGAAGAATAACTCCGTTTAAATTCAAATAATTTTGACACCTATTAGAGAAGTTCATTAGCTTTCGGAAAATATATACTTCGCTATGCGTAAAAATATTTTTCGTTGCGTTAGAGAGTGAAACAGGTCAAGCTGTAGAGTCCGGCGCGCGCTCGAGCCGCGATTCGATCGTCCAAGATCAGGCAAAAATTAAAGATAAAAAGAACTACTCGCTTCAGAAGAGTCTCTTTTTCTGTGCTCTTAGCGCACACGTTTTTTGAGCGGCACACAAAATTAAGAATCTGCATCTGCGTTTATTATTACCTTTTTAAACTCAAATCGACCATCCACCCAGAGCGCCCGAAAACTTGTTTTGCCTTCCAAGTAAGTGGTTAGATCGAAATATGAAGAAGAATAACTCCGTTTAAATTCAAATAATTTTGACACCTATTAGAGAAGTTCATTAGCTTTCGGAAAATATATACTTCGCTATGCGTAAAAATATTTTTCGTTGCGTTAGAGAGTGAAACAGGTCAAGCTGTAGAGTCCGGCGCGCGCTCGAGCCGCGATTCGATCGTCCAAGATCAGGCAAAAATTAAAGATAAAAAGAACTACTCGCTTCAGAAGAGTCTCTTTTTCTGTGCTCTTAGCGCACACGTTTTTTGAGCGGCACACAAAATTAAGAATCTGCATCTGCGTTTATTATTACCTTTTTAAACTCAAATCGACCATCCACCCAGAGCGCCCGAAAACTTGTTTTGCCTTCCAAGTAAGTGGTTAGATCGAAATATGAAGAAGAATAACTCCGTTTAAATTCAAATAATTTTGACACCTATTAGAGAAGTTCATTAGCTTTCGGAAAATATATACTTCGCTATGCGT